ATTATCATTCGGAAAAAAAAAAAAAAAAAAAAAGTAAAAATTATTTGTAATCATAACTTGTCGATAAGCAGAAGAAAAAAAACCCATTATTATCAGCATCTAGCTGAATTTGATAACTATTGTGCAGAAAAGTTATCAATCTAATTTAATTTTTTTTTTTTTTGGTTTATATTTTTTAAAAAAGATTAGATTGTCCCAATTAAAACATATATACATGTATATAATAAAATTACATACATAAATACAAATTTGTTTGTTATTACTCAATTTCACATTATTGCCTATCAATCTTAAGATCTTTTGTCGTCGTCATGCAAAAAAATATAATAATATTATTATTAAATCATCATCATCTACGTTCATCCCGATCTCTGCTATAATTTCTCCGTCTAATACTTTCGCCTTCTTTAGACCTACTATTACGATGACGATTACTATGATGACGTGAAGTATGATGTTTTTTATGTTTTCGATTTCCACTTCGATGATAATCATCTTTGGGGTAGGGAGTATGACGAAGCTTTGATGTAGAATTTCTTTCCGTGTCTTCTTTATCTAATGACTCGTGTCGATGATGTGACGATCTGTGATATTTACTACTTCGATGTTTGTGAGATGAAGAATGTCGACGTTTATCTAGAAATTTGTCAGGTGAAGGAGGTGTAGTAGGCCTATCATCTTTTGTTGAAGAAACTTCTAGATCATCATCATCATCTACCAATAACGTATCTTCATCGTTAGTTGAAACATCAATAACATTATCAACTTCATCATCATCGGGTACCTGAAAGTCTTCAGTATCTATTATGGGTTTTGGTGAGTCCGATCGGGATTGTCTTTCATCCTCCTCATAGTTTTGTTGTTCTATCGGTTCTGATTGATCATTTCTCTCCTGCATTTCCACGTCAAAGTCATCACGTGGACTTTGATACAAGTTTTCACCATTATCATTTTCATCATTCATCATATTATTGGGAGAAGGGGTTCGAGCTTTTTCCTGATCATTATAACGTTCGTTAGGTAAACCTTGATTACGTATGTCATCTTTTCTTTCGTCTATTGAAATACGTCTACTATCTTTTCTATCACCAATTGATTCACGTCTACCATCATAACGTGAACTATTATATGAATCACGACGGTCATCACGTCTATTATCTCTGTCTCTATCGCTTCTTCTGTCCGAAATTGATTCACGCCTTTCATCTCTTCTATCGGATATGGAATATCGACGATCATCATAGTATCGTCTATCATCCGACACGCGCCGTTCATCAACATATCTTCGATCATCTTTTCTTTCCATATATCCATCACGACTACGTCTAGACGATGTCGAATTCTTTCTTCGATCATCATATAATATACGATGATCATGCTTCGATGGTGATCGGCTACGATGTAATTCATCGCGAGTTTTTCGAATACGATGACGCGACCTACTGCTACTTCGTCGATCTTTGCTTCTACTTCTACTATTACTTCTTGCCTTTTCTCGTCGTCTACTATCCAAATCTTCATCTGTTATCATGTCCCTATCGCGTCTATCACGATCAGGTAAAAGGGGAGGGGTTAGCTTGTCACGACTATCCTTATCTGGAGAATTATGTGACGTTAACGATTTTCGACGTGCCAAATCACGTCCAAAATCGTCCACTAATCGCTCATCTTCATACTTTTGTTCACCTTCCCGGTACTCTGGTCTTTCGGACCTAATTGAATTCGATACATGGAATGTTAATTTATTCATTTTTTATGATTACAAGATTACCTATTAATTATCTCATACTCACGCTTCTCTCCTGCCCACCGAAGGGCTCATGCTTGATTCTCTTCTAAATTCATTATTACTACTACTTCCGTGTCCGCTATTAAATGGTCGTTGCTCGTAGAAATAATTTGTACTTCTTCCACGACCTCCACCTCCACCACGGCCACGGGTTTGAAAGTTACCCCCACGTTGAGCAAATGCGCCACGAAAACCACCTCTGAAAGGTTGTATAGCACCACCACCCATACCACCTCCCACATTATTCCCAAATGGGGTGAAATTACCTTGTGGTGGAATCATTGGCCTATTATCCCAGAATTCATCATATACTGGTGGTCTAAAGGGTGGAATGAATTGTGCCGGGAAATGATCGGCCGGGTAAAATCCGGATTCAAAATATGATGGGTCGTAATAACCGCCCGGCGCATTCATCATATTCATATTCATCTGAGGATATCCAGCTGCGAAGATAATGTTAAACATGTTAAAAATCTTTTTTTAAAGATTATATTAGTTGTTCCAAAAATTATGATAAACTTACCATCATCATACCAGTATCCTTGATCATAACCAAATCCGAAATCATTGTAATATCCAAATTGTCCGTACGTTGCTTGTTGGGCGGCCGCAGGGTTTTGTTGTGGAAACGTTTTTCCGTTGACATTCGAAAATTGATGCTGCTGACGTTGTAGTTGTTGTTGTGATTGTTGAAACTGTGATGATTGTTGAGATTGTTGAGATGGCACTTGTGGTAACTGAGATTGTTGAGAGAGTATTGATTGTTGCGGTGGAGGTATTTGAGGAAGTTCATGGATTGGTTTTTTTGGCAATTCGACTTTAGTAACAACCTATGAAATGACGAAAAAGTTTGAGTCAACATTAAAAAAGGAAAAATTAAGATGATGATGATGTAACAAAAAAAGTAACTAAAAAAAATTTGTACCGGCTCAACCTTCACTTTTGGAGGTGGTTCATGATCTATGAGATCCGTTGTTGGTGGTGTTTGATCCTTTTCCACTACTAAAGTTTCAGCCAATGTTGACACTTCTATCGTATCCTCTTCAACAACCACATTATTCATATTCAAGTCATTGTTATTATTATTATCAACTTCCTCTTCACTATTACCCTCAGGTACAATCTGTTCATTTCTACGCCTTGCCCAATCTCTTAAATGATTGTTCACAGCTTCTCTAGTTGCTTTGTCAGGTAATAAGCCATCAGGTGATAATTGAGATTGACAATTTGGACACTTGAACTGCTGATCTTCTTGTTCGGTACTGATTAATGCGTTTCGAATACCTGTGTAAATTTTTTATCAACCAAAATTTATACCACCAACCAACAAATGAATTTTTTTTTTTTTTTTTTTTTTTTTTTTTATGTTTTATAATAATAAGAAAAAGAGAAAAGAAAAAAGAAATAAGCAATCATGTTAGTAACGATAACTGACTTGAATAATTTAGGGATGATAAATTTGACTAGAAAAGCTGTAATATGAGTTAGTTTTTTGTTGTTGTTGTTCTCTGTTTAGTTCTTTTTTTTTTTAAAAAAAAAAGAAAAAAAAGGGGAAAAAAAGAAATAAAATAAGGATAGAAAAACAAAAAAGAAAAAAGAAAAACAAAAAGGTAGAATTTTCTCCACACATCATGAATCTATTTGATTCGCAATATTTCCCTTTTTGTCATGAACTTTTAGTAATACCAAATTTTTGGTATATTACAATCACATTATATCAATAATGTAGGAATCAATTTTCTCATTGCAATCCAGACATTGACTGAGACCACCAATTTGTCTTGGATCATCAATTCCACACTCTGTTATATTTTCTATCTATAGGAATATTTGTAATATCCCCACTCCACAGGAAGAAAATTTTTTAAAAAAAATAATAATAATAATAATTTGCACACAAGTTCACTAGACTAGAACTCGAGATTAATTTTGTTTTTAAACCTCGAGAAAATAACGAAGGGATTATATTTATTGTGCAACAAACAAATTGCGAGCAAAACCATAATAATAACACAAGAGGCAAAAATTTAAAATAAATAGATTGTAACAATATATCTAGCCTAACCTGACTAATTAATCTATAAAATTCATAACAAAAATCTAAAATTTGTTGTCTCTGCAAACAACAATAACGATACGTACATTCATCACAAAATGAGGCCTGACAACACGGCGTTATAACCGCTTCTCTAAGAAGTCGGGCACATATCATGCATTGGAGTTCAGGAGGCACCGGTAGCGTTTCTTCAAGTACTTCATTTGTAGTCACATATGATTTTTGACGAGCATGAAATTTTTGCCAGGCAGCTCTTTAAAAAATAAAAAATAATAATAATAATTTGAGTATAAATGTGGTTATTTCTCTTAAAGGAAAGAAAAAATTAATTTACGAAAACTTACTCATTTGCTTGCGCAATAACCAAATTCCCATCCTGTGTAACAAGAACTCCTTTTCCTCCGGGAGGCACTTGTTCAACTTTTTGCAAGAAACTTCTAGGTATTCCCGTCGTCTTTCTAACTTTCATGTGATCGAATGATCTATCACCATTTGTCGGACAAGCTTGAATCCAATGTCCTAATAAATACAAGTAATGTAAACAACATCCAACAATTTGATACTTGCCAAACAAAACAAAAAGATAACTATTGATAATAGTAAAGATTTGATGATAAATACCTTTTTGCCCACATCTATAACAGACATAATTTGGTGGCAGAGCCTTTAGAATTTGTTGCTTCACTTGCGGACGAGGCTGATTTGGCCTTCGAAGTGCTGGTTTTCTATTGAAATCAAGAAAGAAAGAAAAAAGAAAGGTAAAAATTAATATAAATCAATTAGTACAAATACATATATTTATTTATTATCAATAATGATATTATATATTTGTAATACTAACGAAGCCATCTGTTCCTGTGTTTTTTCCCAAAATTCTGATGATTGAGCAAACATAGCTGCAATTTTGTCTTCTTCAGTTTGTTCTTCACCAGAGCTGTGAGTTATGGTTGGAATAGGGGAAGGTCGTGAAATTTGCATTTGTTGTTGTTGCTTGGAAGAGTCGAAAGTTTTTGACATTGATCTAAAATATAAAGATTTATATCCCATTAAGATAATCAATATTTATTGATATTATTTAATTTATAAATGAAATTTACCCATTAGCATTTCCATAATTAACTCGATTTCCGGTCGCTGCATTGCGTGGGGCTGGCACTCCCTCTAAATAACGGTGCGCAGTCCCCTTTCCTTGCTTAGTGGGTACTCGTCGAACGACTATAGGTGTATTTCTAGGTATTATTGCAGTGTCTTCTTGGTAATCTAAAGGGCCAATATTTATATAATAAATTATTTATATATACAAGGCGATTGGACTTGAAAGATTTCAACCACTACAATACAAAATACAAAAAAAAAAAAAAAAAATACCTTCTCCAGATTCAGCATGGGTAACTACAATATCGAAATCATTTCCTTTCAGTTTTTTTGCAGTTAAAATTTCCTTTTTTGCATCGAAAACAGAGATTCCGAGACCGTCGAAAGTAATATTGTCATAATCTTTGGCACTTTTGAACTTGTAATATATTTGAGAATTCATTTTTTTTTAATCTACACACTTACAAAGCCATATTGAGTATATTTTTATGGCATTATATGGACATGGGAAATCACGTTATAAGATCAGCAATAACATCATGGATACGTAATTATAATCACGTGCCTTTCCAATGTCTTTACCAATCAAACATTGAACAAAAAAATAATCTTTGGTGGAGCAGATCGATTGGCTAAATGAATGTTTTGACGATCAATGAAATCATATCCTTTATTGATTGATTTACAGACGCGTTCTTAAATTTTAAATATTAAAAATAATTGCTTCATAAGAATCAGCTTGATTTCAAATGCTTTTTCGGTTTGTAACGAAAGTGGTAAATGTAAATCGGGCAGTTTTAGTAGCGAATTACGCGAAGTTCATGAAGTTAACAAAGTATATAACATATTTTATAGGTTGATGTAATATTTGGATATAATTATGCCTCAACGTTAACGTTTAACTTATGTAATTGCTTTAAAAATCACTACATAATGAAAATAAATACATAAATATTTCTAGTATTTTATTCCAAATCAGAATATTACAATCAAGACTAAGATTCAAATGATCTTATTGAGCAAAGAACTGATCAAAATTCTTCTTGAGATATAATACTAGTTGTAGACCTGATTGCCGGTCGCATCAGCATAAGGGTAATGTAAGGTTAATGAATCAATAGTAAAATAGTTATTGTCTGCCACAATTCACACTCGTCACCTTTTGACTCCTCATTATCAGATGTATTTGATTCGTAGGACAACAGAGTGAACAATTCGTGTATTACCATTTTGAAGAAAACAATATTTTTTTTCTTTATGAAACGAGTTTAAAAGTCACTAATTTATTTCATCATAATTTATTGCATAATCGTAACCTCTATCCAGCGAAACTGAGTTGATGTCAATACAGAAAACGGTATGTGTTGACCTATGGCGCAATAAGGATTGATAAAAATGGAATTACTGCTTAGAAATAAATGTTACTACTAAGGATGCTATCTCGGTAGTTAGTTACTACTAAACATTATAAATAAATTAACTTTTGAAAATAAGCCAAAAGCAGATAACATTAATAGTTATCATTTAGGATTTGATGTGAAATCAACGGTCTAACGTTGGACGGTCCTGATCATAGTTTTGAGGATCGACGGACTTCGATCTTAAATATTGGTTCAATAGATTATCAAATGATTATCCACGCGTTTTTACGCGTTTAACTAAAATATGTATTTTTTTTAATTTTGACTGGAAGTACAATACTTAAAGTTCGAAAATACCAGTATTTTACTTTACATTTTTAATGATTTTGGCAAATATTGTATCCGGAAGCAAAAGTATTGATCTTGATCAGGGACAATGATTTGTTGTAGTGATATAAAGTAAATTTTGTGTGTGATGTGAATTAATTTTGTGATTTAATTTTTATTGATTTTGTGTGATTTGTGGTATTTTTTATACAAATTATTTAATTATTTCGATTAAAATACATCATATTAAGAAAAATTACGCTTAACAGTACAGCTTGATTATAGGTAACTAAATATAATTCAGTGATTTTTGATAAAGAATTGGTAAACGCGTTGCTAAATTATTTCAATAAATATCTAATTTACTTTTATTTGTATTTTCATCAAATTCTAATTCACAATAAATACCTATTTATGTAATAAATTATCAGAAGGATTATTAAGTTCATTAATAATTGAATATTGATAAATGCTATATCTTTGAATATTATTTCCTAAATGCATATATTTAGGATCAAAAACGTGAATTGCATGAAATAATGAATGTATTAGATGATTTGGAATGTGTAATTCAAATTTTTTATATGTTACCTAAAATACTACTTGAAAAATAAAATAAAAATCTGATGGATTAAAATGAAGTTGTGTTATAAGATCTTCAAGTTTCATACCAAAATGAGTAACAATTTGATTAGATTCAAGATAAATTGTAAGGTTTGTTAATCTTGTTTTAACAAATGGAAAAACTGATTTCAGATCTTGAACAAATGCTTTAGCATAAGTTGAAATAAAATTTATGTAGATTATAATAGTTTCTAATTGTTATGTATTTTGTAAAATTAAATAAAGAATACCTATTACTTCATTTTTCAGATCATTTTCATATTCAAATTTGTAAAAATCTTGCCAATATTGAATATGTTCTTTAGTATAAAAAACCATTTTAAACTAACTATTCCATCTCATGTTATTTGGTAATATAATTTTACATGGTGATGCAATTCCATTCATTTGTAAATAAGTTATATAACAAGCTTTTCGTGCAGGTAACTTAATAAATAAATCCTTTCTTTAGCTAAAAATGTTTTAAAATGAAAATTGTGGAAAATTATGCTAAGTTTCACTATTTAAAACATATGGGAGGCGGTCAGTAGAAAAGGGAGAAATCCAAATTTTGGTCAAAATCTATATTATTGGACCACTTGGCTGATCTTAGTCATATGCACAAAAATTAGCTTAATAATTAAAATTAACAAAAATTTTGGATTTCCCCCTTTTCTACTGACTGCCTCCCATATATTAAAATTTAATATTTATAATAATTAATAAATAATATAATATATTTAATTTAAAATAAACTTATCTAATTAGATTTAATATATGTGCAAGACATAGTAGATGTATTAATTGCGACATAATTAGTTTTAAAATATTATAATAATTCTTTTTCATATATGTAGCAGAATCAGAAAGAAATAAAAATAGAAGATTCAAAGATATATTATAAAAAAGTAATATAAAAAGAAGTGGTTATGCAATTGTTGAATTATTAATTTGTTTCAAAAAATCAATAGATACTAAATTAGTATCTGAATGAGCAGGGTGGACATACTTCATATTATCACATTTGTTGATCATTTTGCCGATCATTTGCCGATCATTTGCCGAT